TGTAGAGGCAATCGTGGAAACAATCTCGTCTGTTGGAGCCTGATGGTGTAGACATCCCTCAGGCGTCCGAGACCACAAAGTCCTAAAGCAATCCATGGTCTCTTTTGTGATGGCTTGTCCTCCTCCCATGCTCCCCCACTCAGCAAGGAGCCCACATGGCTAAGCAGAACCTCCTACAGCCGACCAATCAATCACCCAGCAGCGGCCTTCCATGCTCCAGGGTTTTAGCTCTTCTCCCATGGGCACCGCCACACCGCCTGAGACCAGAATGGGTCCACCCTACTATAGTCAAGGCTCAGAGTTCCTACTGCGCGCTCTCCTGACTGGGCAGCCAGAGGCTTCCTGGGATCGTTCCTTCTGTGTAAAGCTCCCATCACTCTCACACACACATATACACACTGGGCAACCAGTACATTTTTGCATCTCTTAAGAAAAGTACATGCCTTCCCCAAGTACTCTGAGGTCTATACCCCACTCTGGTTGTTTCCTCTTTCTGGAATTTTCCTCCCTCTTTCATGGAGGCCCTTTTGAGTTGCAGCCTCAGTGTCACCCTCTGGGCTTTCCCTGGCCCTTGAGATCCTTTGTGATGTCCCCTCAACCCCACTCCTGTCAGTTCTTAGTGACATTCTTGCATGTCTCATTACAAGACCATGCGGTGTCTGGGGCTTGAGAGTGTGGGTTTCCTCCTAATGCTCTAGCAAAGGCTCCAGGGGAGAAGTGCAGGTCTGGGCCATTTCACTGATTCCCAGACTCCTTTGGCAATACTCCGGCTTCTGAAAGGGTGACGGACTATGCCCCCTGCTGGCCTTGGAGGGTAAGACAGAGACTCACTAAAATGCCCAACTTCCCCCTCACAGCTCCGCAAAAAGCCCCAGATTCTGAAGTCTCCACCGCCCCAGACAACATTTTTTTCAGGAGAACCTTGTAAGAGCCATGAGTAATACTGCACACCTTTAATACCAGTACTGAGGCAGGAGGATCACAATGAGTTACAGGTCAGTTCCAAGGCAGGGTGTGGTGGAGCAACAGATTCCCTAGACAGCCTAGCACACACAGGAATGATCACAGGGCTACAGCTATGATAATGTGAAAGACAGATGCATGGGTGGATGGGAGTGTCAGGCAGGGTAGAACTCGAAAAACCAAGGCTTCGTGGAAAAGGTTATAGGAAGACCAGGTCTCAGTTTATCTAGGTAAGACACCCACAAATGTCAACTTCAGCCAAGATAGCAAAAAAGCTTCCTATTTTACATTAAAAAAAAAAAACCAGATTAATAATTTTTCACTAAAACCCTCTGGGATTTGACTTTTTTTTTCTTTAATGTACATTGGGGTTTTGCCTGCATGTATGTTTGTGTGAGGGTGCCAGATCCCCGAGAACTGGAGTTAGAGAGTTGTGAACTGCCATGTGGGTGCTGAGAAACGAACCCGGGTCATTTGGAACAGCAGTCAGTGGTCTTAATTGCTGAGCCATCTCTCTAACTCAGAATTTGGTATCTTACTGGGCCATACCTCATAAACAAACAATTTAAAACCCTTTTCCGGGGCTGGAGAGATGGCTCAGCAGTTAAGAGCACCGGCTGCTCTTCCAGAGGTCATGAGTTCAATTCCCAGCAACCACCTGGTGGCTCACAACCATCTACAATGGTGCCCTCTTCTGGAGTGTGCAGGGAGAACACTGCATATATAAAAAATAAATAAAAAAAATAAAACCCTTTCCCAATTTTCTTCCGAAAAGAAGAATGAAAAGTTATCTTTCCCCATTTCTAATAGTGACCATCCTGGCCAGAACCCTGGGGTGACTTCTCTCTCTTGGCTAGGGGATCTCTGTGCAGTGGACTCTCATGATAGTCATGTTTTGAAGGCATGAAATCATCAAGCCTCAAAGGTTTGGGAAGTGCAGGGTGAGATTCTGACTCAGCAGGAGCCCGGGGTGCCTTAGTGTCCTTGTGGCAGGCAGCAATTATCAGAGGAGCTGTGGGTCTCATGACACTGACTGGCTCCTTGCTTATTATGTTGGGATCTAGGTAGCTCCTCACAAGTCCCTGGGAGGTAGTATGCATAACAGAAACTATCTTCTGTCAAAAACCGAACCAAACAGCTCTGCACAGTAAACAGGCAGCAGAGGAAAAGACAATGGGGGGAGTGGGTCCACTCCTTCTACCGCGTGGGACCTGGTGATTGAACTCTGGTCACCAAGCTTTGTTGCAGGCACTTTACCCACTGAGCCATCTTGCCAGCCCACTATTTAATTCTTAACTTATAGGAAACCTTTCCTGTGTTTTCTTTTAGACTTGGTGTATAGTAAACTTCTCAATAAAACAAAGTCTGACAGTATAACTTTAAAGACATACTGGCTAGGTGTGATTCATACCTGTAACTCCTGCACTCATGAGGCTGGTCAGGAAGACTATGAGCTCAAGGTCAGTGTGAAACCCTGTCTCAAAAAATAAAAAAGTCCATAAAGTAAAGTCACCTAGTTAGAGTTCCGTCCTTGGCATAGGAAGAAGCAGGAGGACAAAGGGGATGGGAGCACACTCTTAGAGGTGCGATGGCACACACCTATAACCAGGCTGGCACTTGAAGGCAGAAACAGGAAAGCCACTGCAAATTCAAACCTAACCCGAGCTACAGAGACTGTCTAAAAAATTAAAACCAAACCTATTAGTCTTTGGATCAAAATGATCATTGCAAAGTTATAAACTGTAAATAGAGCAATCCTAAGTATGTATGCATGCTATCTATACAATATGCATACATAAATGCAGTATGCGTGAGTTTCCAGGTCTGCAGAGATCACTTAGTCTTCTGCAGGATTTTCTGGGATTGCTATAATTCATCAGGAATATAAAAATGGAATACAAAAGTAATAAAATCTTATTGCTTGCACCCCCTCTTTCCAAAGGGCCAGCTTCAACTTGAATCCTCTGTCCTCGGTCCTGAGTGCTGGTGCTGGGATTGTAGGCACACACTGCCACACCTTGCATCCTAGGCTGAGTAAGGTTCCAACAGACTTGTGTACACAGAGCTGTCTGAAGAACAAAAATCACAATATATACATATGTGGCAAAAACATATTGAGGCAACTGTTTGGAAACAGGAACACAACCAGGGAACACAGAAGAGGGACACAGATCACCTTACAACTGTACAACACTCAAAGCTTGAAATAGACACAACCTCCAGTGGCCATCACAGCAACACCCTCCAAAAACACAAGGAGAGAAAACAGAAGTGTGGGAAAACTCAAGTATGTTTAGGACCAGAACCCAGGACCATACCCCCACACTCCAAATCCCAGGACAGCACTTGGATTCTTCATAATGCACACTTCCACAGTCTATTCGGACAGACCTAACACAACTGTAGCACACCATCTATCTCTATTTATGCTGTAACCTGGGTAGACAAGGCAAGGGAAGCCTGTGTACCAGGCAGAGTCCTGTTATGATGTAGGGAACAGGCCAACCCCAAGGTCAGAGAAGTATTTATTAAGCCCAAATAAAGACCACCTACCTTGCTGGAAATAAAGGAAGTCAAACCCAAAGGGCATTCCTAGCTTTATTTTAGGGATGAAAAAAAATGTCCTGGGAACACTGGCTCTGCCTGGGTTTCCATACACTGTTTTAGCCTTTGTCAGGACATCAGGTTAATGGAAGATTTGGGGAGACTGGTGGGATTGATAGTTAAGTGTCTCACAGGGATGGGCCAGGTTTCAGCTCAATTTGTGGTGTTCTGGGTTCCAATAGCGATCTTTAGTGGAGAAATGCTTGGTGGCTTCACCCCTGTAACCCAAGCAGCCACTTTTCTCTTAGGGCAGGATCAGGACCCCCACCCCGCCTTCTAAGTTTTTGTTTATTGTATTTGAGTGTTTTGCCCGCATGGATGTCTGTGAACCATATCCTCACAGCACCAAGACACCAGAAGAGGGTGCTGGATTCCCTGGAGCCACAGTTACAGGCAGTTGTGGGGCACAAGGTGGGTTCTGTTCTAACCTCGGGGCCGTCTCTCCAGCCCAGCTTCCCCTGTAAGAGCCAGCTACTGTGAAGGACACAAGGTGGTGGCACTAGGTGTGAGAGAAGGGAAAGGCACAGGGCCCGCAGCCCACTCAGCTCTGGAATCTCCAAGTGGCTGATTTGAGGCTGAGATACAGGGCGACTGAACAGTTTTCACTGGCTTCATGGTGCTTTTGGGGAGCTGGGTGGAAAGGAGGATTTTATCAAATACAGCAAAGCCTCATCCGTATGCCGAGAGGAGACTGTCAGGATGTCTGAGCTGATGTGTTCCCAGAGTGTACTTTGGGGGCTAATTATGTTTTTTATCCAAATCCTAGGACTCTTCAAAGTAAAATTCCATCTCCCTTCCCCACTAAGGATCCAGACCCAAAGAACTGCACTTTTGCCAAGTAGTGGTGGTGCACATCTTTAATCCCAGCACTCAGGAGGCAGAGGCAGGTGGATCTCTATGAGTTTGAGGGCCAGCCTGGTCTACAGAGCAAGTTCCAGGACAGGCTCCAAAATTACACAGAGAAACCCTGTCTCATAAAAACAAAAACAAAACAAAAAAAGAAGTGTATTTTTTCCACTTTCATTTTATCTAAAACAACAGCAAACCAAAGTGTTACCTCTCTCTCTGTTTTTAAAAAGACAGTCTTATTCTGTAGCCTTGGCTGGACTGGAACTCACTGTGTAGACTGAGCTGGCCTTGATTCTGAGATCTTTGTGCCTATGCCTCTCAAGCGCTGGGATCAAGGGCACACGCCACTACACCCAGCTGGGCCACATTTTTGAAAACGGGCTCAGCACTCAGCCCACTTGCTTACTTTGTCATGTGACAGCTGTATTAGCTATCTGACAACTTAAACCATTTCCTAACTTAAAGAGGTACATTAGGTCTGTGTGAGGGTTCCACCTTTCCTGTCAACCTGACTGCATTTATAATCACCAGGAAAACACACTTCTGGGGCTGTCTACGAGAGAGTAGGCAACACACACGGCTTCCCATGAGCACATCTGCCAGTCTTTATTTCATCTTTTAAAGTACAACTACTTACGGCAATGCAAGCATGAATAAAAGCTTGCCAATTCTGGATGCAATTTAACAGACTCTCTGCTGCCGAGGGCACAGACTGACTTTCGGAGCAGCTGCGCCTTCCAGCATTTCTTGTCTATGTTCTTGTTTGCAGCCTGGGATCACAGTGTCTGCAAAATAAAGAGATTTTAATTTCGGGTTTGCCATTAGAAAAACAAGCATTCACAACAACGACTGTCCCCATCTGTCTTCATAGTTTACATGGCTCATGTTTCCTGCTGAGCCATGATTTAGTAGACTTCATCGCTCACTTGTGTGGACTTCTTGCTTTTACAATTTACTCCCCAGACGCAACCAGGTCACCTCTAGCAACATTCTTAGTGGCTCGAGGTTTTGTAGCAGTACTTAAGTGTCTAACAGAAACCACTCAGTCTGTCAAACTATATCCCGTCTGCAAAGCTTCTCTTACTGTTGGTGGATCGACAATGGCACGGCACAGCCATTGTCACCGTGGCAACAGTACTCAGGACCTATCAGAGGAGAATTGCACATGAAACCGCTGGTTCTCAAGCAGGCATGCCTCGGGTTCCTCAGGAGTATGCTTTTTCTGCAAGTCTGGTGTGCTTTAGGGTACCACCAACCCAGCGCAGGTCCAAGACTACAGATCAGGGAGCATGCCACCGAGTCCTGCTGGCCAGGATCCAGACCCACGTGCTACCAAGTAAGGGCACTGACCATGTGCTGAACTCTCCTAGGGGACAAGTACAGGTCAAGGAGTATATACGGAGAGCAGAGAAAGCAATGGGCCTTCCCAGTCTTCTGCAGTAACATTAGCAGAAGTGCGGCTACATTTTGTGCGAGAGCTCCACCCAGTGGCCGGCATCACCTGCTCGGGAAATCACGGGCAGAACACTATTATTCGTGTGCATGTGCTGGGGATGGAACTCACGATGCCGCTTACACTTAGGAAATCGATCTACTACTGAGGTATATCCTCACACTTCCTGGCCGGTTTTGAAGATCTTGCTATATGGCCCGGGCTGGTTTGGAACTCTTGAGTTAAACAGATTCTCCCGTCTCAGCCTCCAGGGCGGCGGCACTTTGCAGGAAAAGGCCACAGGAGCAACACATCAATTTTCTAGTTCGGGCCAATAAACCTTCCTAACCCTGGTACAAGAGGTTATGCGGACAGAAGGGTCGCCCAGGCCCAGAAGCCGCCGATCGCCACCCCGCCGCGCACTTCACGGGTGGTGGCTCAGAAGGTAACGGCACTTACCCGGCAAGCCCGAGTTCTCGTCCCTGGACCCCTCGTAAAAGGCAAAGTAGGGACCCGACTCGCCCACGCTGTGGCAGGTGCATGCACTACATCATACGTACACATAATAATTAGATTTTTATGCTAAAAATCATTCTAGAGAAGGAATTCCACGCGAAACAGGCACGGCTTGGCCGTCCACGTGCACGGCGGGTCCGAGGCTGGAGCCCAGGCTGGCCTGGACATGAAGCCGAGTTCGAGATCGGAGTCTCGAGCAGGGCCGGACACGCCAGGTTCGAGGCTCAGCTCCGCTGGTGAGGCGCGAAGGCCCGTCACTTCTCCGCTCCTTGCCATCGCAGAACTACCGGCCGCGTTACCTTAACAATCGGCCACCGCCAACGGAACCGGAACCCGCGTCTGGAAGTAACTCCTTCCCGGCGTGCCGCGGGCGTCAGAAGCCACGCCCAGCGCCGATCCGGCCGTCCTGGGGTATCCCGGCAGGCCTCGACCGTCCTCGTAAGGAAAGTCGACTTCCTGCGCT